GTAGCTGCTCATGAACCAGCCTACACCAGGAAAGCTAGCTGCGCATGATTTCTTATATTGCCAAACTTACTCTCCACTCGCTGCTGCGCCCATTGACATAATAGCCTCCGTTGACAAAGCCAAGAGACCATCCACGCGGAGAACAATTATGTATGCCGGTACCTTCTTCTGCTTGCCGAACATGCGCAGGGAACAAGCATCGCGCAGTGACTGGTATAACTTCAGCTCGTCCCGTAGAAAACGCAAGCATGCCATCTAACACAACATCGGACAATCAACCAAACCATACATTGCCTAATCAAGTAGCGAGACACGCAAATATCTCTCCACGTCTTCAACCGTTGTGAGCTTCAGTAAACGTAGATGCCGCTCGCTAATCATCAACTGCCAGTTGAAGCCAAACTGTCCGAAGAAGGTCGAATTCGTGTCCTAACTATTTAGCTCACGCCTCGATCTCTTGAAGTCGTAGACCTTGAAGAAAAGCTGTTGATACATCAAATGCTTCACATTCCCAGAAATGCCAAGCTCCGCGAGTCGAAGCCAACTGGTGCGGTAAAACCGACGCCGACCAACAGCGTCGAAGTAGAACTTTACGTCGTACGTCCATGAAGCCTCTGCCACACATCCGCGACTTGACAAAGGGGGGACTTTGCGTCGTCAGTTTGCGAAAAGAAGCTGCATCGATGGTGTTGACGCTGTCGCTGGCCTCACTTACAGGAAACACATAATGTGATACGAACGATTTGATATCGTCGCGGTCACCCTCCTCGACGAACTCCCATTGCTGGGGTCCTGCCTAGTTTAAGGCATCTTCTTGAGTCACTGAGGAACACTCATCTCCAAAAGTATCATATCAGAAGCAAGTCTCATTTCTGCCATGGCCCAGTAATGACCAGAAAGCATGTGCCGCTGTCCATGCCGTCGATCTCAGAAATGCTGAAATCAGCCAAGTTTGAACTTTACCTGCACCGCCAGCTGCGTGAATCATGGCATCGAAGTCATCGTCACAGCGATGTCCTTGATCTTGGAGGCCTTGGTCCAATACTGGCACCACGAATGAGGCGCAACTGAAAACAAGGTCCCTGCCTCCGAATTGGGTAGCGTGTCATCCAGAGAACCTGGAGGATGTTCAATTGTGTCGTCTGCTGCCCCTGGAGTCTACTCCACAACAGCACCAAGAACGCCGTCCGGATGTTCAACAGTAGAGTCAGCGTCTCGTGCTGGAGTACGATCTGGTGTCTCGGCTTCAGGAGATGACGAGGCAGGTGTCCGAACCCCTCTCTTTTCGCCGACGCCCTCCACGATAGCCCCACGAGGTCCTCCATGGCCCCCAACAGGCCCCCAAGAGAGCCCCAAGAGAGCCTCCGATGCTCCAAGATGGCCTCCAAGATGGCTCAAGATAGCCGACGATGGTTCAAGATGGCTTCTGGCATACCTCCAAGAGGCCCCACGAGGGTCACTAGACGGTTCCACGTGCTCTCGGAGCCCCCTCAGGACCCCCTCATGAAACCCAAATCCTTCAAACAACTACAGAAAAATCAGTGATTGTTGACTTCTCGCTTTTTCGCTTCCGATGCGTTTTTGAGGCCTCGAGATGGCCCCAAGATTGCCCAAGCGAGGCCCAAGAGGTCCCCCAGACGGTCCCAAGAGCACCCAAGAGTGGCCGAAGAAATCCCCTCAAGAGGGCCCCAAGAGATGATTTTGATGGCCACAGGAGGGGCAACGCTACGACACCCTCTCTTTTCACCGACGCCCTCCACAATAGCCCCAAGAGGCCCTCCAGGGCCCCCAGCAGGCCTCCGAGAGAGCCCCAAGAGGGTGCCAAGAGAGCCCCAAGACACCCCAAAAGAGCCCCAAGATGAGCTCAATACCCCCCAGGAGGGTCCCAAGAGGGCTCTGTCTCTGTCCTCGTTGTCCTCCTCCTCCTCCTCCTCCTCCTCATCATCATCATCATCATCATCATCCTCGTCCTTGCCCTCATCGTCTTCCTTTTGATTTTCCTCCTCTTCCTCGTCGTCGTCGTCGTGGTCGTCGTCGTCGGCGTCGTCGTCTTCTCCTTTTTCTTTTTCTTCTTCTTCTTCTTCTTCTTCCTCTCCTCCTCCTCCTCCTTCCCTCGCCCCCACGCGGGCCCCAGGCTTGGCCCGAAGAGGCCCTCGAAGGCCACCCCCTCGCTCCCAAAGATCTCTCCTTTCACCCCGGTTGCCTGCTCCGGTTCACTGTATGTTTCTCTTCGTCCCTTTTCCCGTCAACTCTTATGGGCAGGGTTTCCGAATGGGCTGGTGTGGATACGCGAAGAAATTGTCCGTCCTCCTCCTGTTCCCTGCCTCGCCCTCCTCCTCCTCCTCCTCCCAATTTCCCTGCCTCCTCGCTATTGTTCCTCCCTCCTTCCTCTTGCTCCTCATCCTCCTCGGCCATTGCGTCCTCCAGGTCGTCCATCATGCCCTCGAAGTCGCACTCTGGAAGGAGCCGGTAGCAGAGGACGTAGGCTCGTATGCCCTGGCTGACCTGGAGCTCGGAGGCTCAAACACTTAGCGAGGCGTGCCTCACTTACCACCCTCCCCCTTTCATTCCGGGAAGAGGCAACGGCAGAAACATTAACTGGCGGAGGTCCGCGCGGAATGTCGAGATTGTAAGACTGTGCGATCTGCTCCTCTGCGGCTCCTCCTGTGTCCCCCTTCCTCCCCCGACCCTGCTCTGCACAATAGAGTCATGCAGCGCCTCCCCGCGTACCCGCCTCCTCGCCCCTGTCGCGCAGCGCGGACTGTGATACTCCTGCGCTGTCTGGTCGGGGCTGCAGCTCTGTAAAAGACTCCCTCGCCGTACCCAGTCGCGTGCCTTCCCCCCTCCCGGGGGCCCCTGGGCCGCCCTGGCCTCCCAGGCGGTCCCCGAGGCCTCACAGATGCCCTGCGCGAGCTGGCTTCCGCAGCGGCCCCAAGAGGCCTTCGCCACGAGGGCCCGTTCCTGCCTCGACGGGACCTCGACAGCCCCCAAGCAGATCACAGGCTGCCCCCATGCAGCCGCCTATGAAGCCCGCAGAGCCCCCCAGAGGCCGCAAGCGGCACTGGAGAGGCCCTCCAGGAGGCACCCGCGATGGCAAGCAGGCTGAAAACGATATGGGGCGTCACGTGCTTCCTGCCTGTCTCCGCTGCTTGCCCCACGTGGGCTGCCCGAGGCCCCAGGAGCGCCCCACGTGGCTGCAGCGAGGCTGCCCGGGCCCCCCAGGCTGCCCAGGACTTGCCCTGGAACGGAACGGAACGGAACGCCTGTGCGGGCATGCGCCCGGGCCCCTCGAGGGCGAGGCGGGTGAGGCCATGGCCTCGCATGAGAAGCTGCGCGCGTCGGGGTCTACTCAGGACAGTGCGTACTTCAGCAGCTGATGTCAGAAGACTTGCCCAGGATGGGCCCGCAGCAGCCCAGACCCCCCCCGGAGCAGCCCCCGACGGGGCCAAAACACCCCCGCGGCCCCCAAAGATTGGCCTCGAGAGCACCCGTTGACGCCCAACAGCCCAGACACTCCCCACACACCAGCCCCCGACGGGCGAACACCACCCCGGCGGCCCCATAGACACCTCGACACCCGTTTGGAGGCCCGAGCCCCACCCCCCCCCCCCCCTGGCAGCGAGTCCCCTGGCAGCGAGTCCCCCCCCCCCCCCCCACGCCCGACCCAGGCTCCGGCAGGAGGGCCCGCCGCGCGCCACGATTGGCCAAGCGGGCACACGGCGACACATTGATATAATCGCCACAGCGCTTCTTCGCGCCAGCGACAATGCCGCCCGAGGCCCCGCCCGCCTGTGCCGTGTCTCCCCAATTAGAGCTGTGCGTAGCCCGCCTAGCTTTTAGCGGAAGAGGTTCGCTCTCGCCCCGCAGACCAAAAAAGTGTCTTCGCGCCAGCGTGTGCCTGACCACCGAATCACTGCCACGCGACGCCTGCAGCGCAGTGGGGGCTGACACCGGCTGCGTGCAACTTCGAACGGGGTAGGCTTAGGTCGGGCCTGTCCCCCTACAGGGGAATTTTGGACGAAAAATAAAAAATAACAAAAAAATGCTCAAAAGATACCCAAAAATACTAAAAAAATAGAGTCCCCAGACTATTTTTCTAACTATTTGTGAGCATTCCCCCTGTAGAGGGACAGGCCCGACTTCAGGGTAGGCTGACACGAAGCCGGGGCGAGGACACAATCGGGTGAGGACATCGAGAATCTCTGAGATCCAGCGGCTCGCCTCTAGGGGGCAAACAGACCTACCTCGCTTTTGACCACCCTCGCTTCCAAGAGATACCAAGCGATGCCAAACTACGGCCTGTACTGGTCAGGCCGCTTGACGAGGAGGCGCGTGGTTTGACTTGGTTTTGTCTGGAAGCGAAAGCGGGGTAGGTAATTCATGCTCTGAGCCTCGGGCGCCGCGGCCTCCGCGGAGCGCTCCGCGCCCCGGCCTAGAGGCACACGCTGGACCACCCTGGCAATGGCAGCGTCGGCGAGCGCGGGCGCGCCTGCGCGGGACCGGCGGGCCGCGCGGGCCGCGCCGGCGCGCCGGAGCGGGTGGAGGCGGGGGGGGGCGGCCGCGGAGGCGGACCCAGACCTCCTCGCGTCGTGAAAAAATCACGACGGGAGGTTTTTCGCCATTTTCGGCCTCCGGGGGCCCTCGCCGGGCCTCGGGAGCGTCAAAAAACGACTCGGGACGAAGAACCGGTCCCGGAGCATGGGTCGGGACCTCTGGGGGTCGACGTCGTGAAAAAAATCATGACGTCGGGGGTCGCGCGGCCACCCTCCTCCTCCTCCTCCTCCTCCTCCTCCTCCTCCTCCTCCTCCTCCTCCTCCTCCTCCTCCTCCTCCTCCTCCCCCCCCCTGACCTTCCAGAGTGCTAAAAAACAGCCCTCCAGACCTATGGAGGGGCCGCGGAGGCGGAGGGAGGAGGGCCCGACCGTCGAGACTCGACGGCGCAGGCGGCATCCGGCGCGCCGGGAGCGGGGGCGGCGTGGAAAAGCGGAGCGCGCAGAGCAGGGCGAGCTACCAGTCCTGGGACCATCGTGATGGGCCTGTTTTCCACCACCACCACCATAAGTTGGAGGGGGGGGGGTCCTCCTCCTCCCCCTCCTCCTCCTCCTTCTCCTCCTCCTCCTCCTCCTCCTCCTCCTCCTTCCCCCCTCCAACTTATGGTGGTGGTGGTGGAAAACGGGTCCATCACATCGGACATGCAGCTGCCGCAGGTCCGCTGAGCTGCCCAAGGCTGCCCCAGGACCGACGGAGGCCCTGTGCTGCGGGCTGTCCGCCGTCGTGTGCGGGAGGGCCTGGGCCCCCCCTTGCACACCTCCCTCGCGTTTCCGTCGCCGACCTGGGTGGCCGCGCTTCCCACCACCAGGAAGCTCTCGTCTCGCACACGACAGAGGGTGCATCAGCGCCGACTCCATCCACCACTCCCCCCGAACAGCTGCCGGCGACTGGACCAACGAGCCGTGTCAGGCCGCCTCTCTGGTCGCCCACGCGAGCCATGAGGTCCGTGACTCTGAGGGCTACGTGCAGTCAAGGTGGCCTGGTCCCAGCGGCAAAGCACTCCTGAGGCGCATTGACTGCGCCATCGCGCTGGACCCTGCCAGACGGCGCCCTCGGTGCATCGAGCTTTCGGCCGCTGTGGCACGATGAGCAACCACAAAATCAGCGCGGCTGAATTATGGAAGGCGGGGGCGGGGGGTCACCGACTACGTCCTCAAAAACAACTGCGGGCTGGCCACGCTTAATGAAGTCCCTTCGTAAACGGGCGACAAGCGGCCTCAAACAAACTTGTTCGCCGTCGGGGGACGTCTGCTCCTGAGCGACTGGAAGATGTACAGCCCTACGGTGGCACGCAAAGCCTAAACTTCCTTGGCGCCCTGGGGCAGGCGTCCCAGACGGCAGAAAGGTTTGTGCCATACTGCGTTTCGTCCGCCAACGCGGGATGCCTGACGCGAGGTCGCCGCCGAGCTCTGGGAGGGCTGCCAGCAAGCCGCTGGCCTCGCCGACCCCATCCCCCCCGTCGGCTCCGACGCGGAACCCGGTGGCCGCGCCGGGCGTCTCTGGGCCGACGAGGCCCAGGGCCGCCGATCGGCACGGCCGCGCAACCTACGACGCAGACGGCAGCCGACGTGCTCACTGACGACGATGGCTCGCAGCAGGAGGCACGGGCCGCGAGACCTGGCACGCTGCCGGCCGCCGCCGCACGCGAAGCCGCGAGGGCGCCGGCGTCCGCTGCGCCACCAGAGGCAGGGAAGAGATGGCTCGGCACGCGGCCAGCCGCCGTCGCCCGCGAAGCCTATAGCGTGTGATGGCGCACACCGCGCCACCGAGGGCACGGAAAGGGGTGATCCGACGGACCGACCCACACCACCGCCAACGGCAAGAGCAGCCTCACGAGCCGCAGGGCGTCGAAGCCAGCCGCGCAAGCTAGTTCGGCCGCCGGAGCTGGCGGGACACTCGCGGGCGAGGCGCGGGCTGAGCGGCGCGGGGCATGCGCGAGGAGCTCCGAGAGCAAATGCCCGACGCTCGCCCCAGGCACGAGCCAAGCTGGCTCCCGGCTTCCCTCGGCCTGCACCTTCCGAACACTCCGCGCGGCCGGTGCCGCGCCCCTTGTGGCCACCGCCGCGGAACGCAGCGGCGGCCAGCGTCGAGGCCGCATCGCGGCGTCATCTTCCGCGCGGGAGGTGCGAAGGCGCAGGTCGAGGGTTGCCCGCCAGAGGCGAAGTGGAGGGCTCTGCCTCTGCGCTGCATCTGCTGGGGAGCTCGTCCGCCCCATCGCGACGCGATCGGCGCCGAGTTCGCTTCGAACGCGTGGAGCCCGGGTCGCATCCGTGTCGAATCCGCGCCGAATCCACCTCGGACCCGCGTCGGTCCCACGTCGGAGCACAAGGCAAGACTGCCAGACCCGAAAAGGCCCCCGTGAATGTGTGCAAAGCGGACTACCTGCGGCGAGGCAGACGGGCACGACCAGGCAGGTGGCGCAAAACTGCCCGCGCAGCTCCGACCGGGCAGCCCGCAGGCGGCTCACAGGCAGCACGCCGAGGGGCACGGGGCACCGCCGGGAAGGCGGCCACGCCCTCCGCGCCGCGAGCACGCCGCGGCGCCCGAGCTTTTGGCGAGCAGTCGGCGCCGCGGCACGGCTGCGGAGCTCGCGGCGAGCGCCCGAGCGGCGAAGGCAGAAAGGGGGCACGGTGCGGCACGGCGAGGGCAGGTGTGATCTCCTCTGGACTGCGGAAGCAGGCTCTTCGGCACAAAGCGACGACAGCGCACGAGAAGAGGAAAAAGACGCGGCAGAGAGGAACGCAAACCTGGAATTCGACCCTGCGCCTCACGACTTGCGCGCCGCGGCCGCTCCTCAGGCCTCCGTGGCGACGATTTGGACGCCCGAAATGGGCACGGAAAGAATGGGTACAATGCAACAGCGGCCGCTGTTGGGCAGGCGGCCTTCTGCCTCGAGTGGACACGGGCCGCGGCGGCGTGGACAGCGAGTCCTGTTCAAAATGAACCAGATCCGCTGTTGGGCATCGTACAGTGGGGGCGTTGACCTAAGGAACCCTAAATCAGGAACGAGGCCCCTTCTTCCATGAGTTACCCTTCGATTTCCGGTCGAAAACAGAAGGAAACCCTGAGGCAAGCTGCGAAACGCTTCAGGAACGCGGAGCCCCTCCCCAACCAAAAGGGTTCCTTCTTCAGGGCCCCGACTGTACCCATTCTTTCCGTACCCATTTCGGGCCTCGGCGGCGACGAACTTCAGCCGCGGCCTGCGCGAAGCGAAGCCGCCGGAGGGCCCGCACGGCCGCCACCCCAGACCCCCGACGTCATGATTTTTTCATGACGCGACCCCCAGAGGTCCCGACCCATTCCCCGGGACCGGTTTTTCATCCCGAGTCGTTTTTTGACGGTCCCGAGGGCCGGCAAGGGCCCTCAGAGGCCGAAAATAGCGAAAAACCTCCCGTCGTGATTTTTTCACGACGCGAGGAGGTCTGGGACTCCGCGGCGCCCGGCGGCACGGCCCCCGGGCGCCGCGGCTCCGCAGGCAGCGCGGGCCCCCCGCCCGGGAGCGCAGGCAGGGCCGCGGGCCGCGGCTGGCGCGGCCGCGGCACCCGCCCCGCATTGAGTCGGGCGTGTCCCCCTATAGGGGGAGTTTCGACGAAAAAAAAAAGATACGCAAAACATACTTCAAGATGGTAAAAAATGGGACGCACATGGACATACTAATACTATATGTCCTCCTTGGAGGCGCGCGTCCGACCCGAACATACAGTATACCCATCTTGTAGTATATCGTTTTCCGAGCGGTGTGGCCAGAAAGCGCCCGCCACGACGCATATACTACAAGATTTCTCGGTGCGCGCGTCGCCCCTGGGGGGGCGACGAACACATAGTATAAGTATGTTGGGGGGATGCCGAAAAAATGTTCCAAAAATAGTCCCAAACGATTGTTGGACCATTCTTCCATACTCCCCCTGTAGAGGGACAGGCCCGACTTAAGCCCAGCATCGGCGCTGGACAAACCTCCCCTCAGTAAACCTCCCCTTAGTGACAAGCGCCTGGGACCGAAACCGACGGACCGAAAAACAAAAAAGACTAACAAAAATACTCCAAAATGGTCCAAAAATAATCCAAAAATAGTCCCCAGACTATTGTTGGACCATTGTTTTCGACAATTTTTTGTTTAAGAATACTCAAATAATACTCCAAAATGGTCAGAACATATTCCAAAAATAATCCCCAGACTATTCTTCCTGTAGAGGGACAGGCCCGACTTCAGCCCAGCAGCGCCCTCCGGCGGCGGGCAGAGGACGCCCAGCAGCCGACCCCCGCGCGCACGGAACGGCCGCGCGGCCCGCGGGGCCCGAGGGCGCCTCCGCCACGGGGCGAGGCGTCGTCCAGCGCCACTCACGCTCGCGGCCGCCCTTCCCTCCTCCTCCTCCTCCTCCTCCTCCTCCTCCTCCTCCTCCTCCTCCTCCTCCCCTCCTCATCCTCCCTCCTCCTCCTCCTCCTCCACCTCCTCCTCCGCCTCCTCCTCCTCCTCCTCCTCCTCCTCCTCCTCCTCCTCCTCCTCCTCCTCCTCCTCCTCCCTCCTCCGGTCGGGCGGGCGCGGCGCCGCCGGCGTCGGCACGCGCGGCGGGCCCATGCGGCGGCCACCGCGCGGACCGCACGGCGGCGTGGGCCCAGCCGGCCCACGGCCTAATCCAGAGCGGCATTGAGCCGAAACGGCTCGAGCCAGCTGGCTACGGACGGGGAGGGCATTCCCTGACTTCGGATCCGCCTTACTTTGGGAAAATTCGTAAGTAGGGCTTGAAATTTCCGCCTTACTTTTCAAGCCCCTCTGATGCCAGTTTCCGCCCTACTTTTCTGTTGCTGTTTCTGTGGATTTCCGCCCTATTTATGTTGGGTGCAGCAATTTCCGCCCTACTTGTTCGGCCCCTTATAGGTGGATTTCCGACGCAATTTTAAGCTGGAAAAAAAGCCAAAGTAGGGCGGATCTGGAGTCAGGGAAGGCCCACTGGACATTTTCGAGCCGAGGGCCTCCCAGCAGGGCTGAAGGGCGAAAAAATAGAAAACGGGCGGAGGGTAGCGGCATGGGTACCATTCCCAAACATGCGACTGAAAGGGGAACTAGGACACACAAATAAATACACACAAATAAGAATATCCCCCATATTTTCCTATGTCTTCTGGGTTTTTGTCTTCCCCCCCACTTCCCATATTTTCCCATGTTTTCTGGGAATCGCCGATGAATTGTGTCTGTGTGTTTCTTTCCCTCCTGAAATACGGGGCCCCTGAAGTCTCGACCCTTTCCCCGGGTCCGGTGTTCCGTCGGGAGTCGTTTTCGGACGGTCCCGAGGCCTGGCGAGGGCCCCCAGAAGCCGAAAACGACCCGAAAATGAGCCAGCTGGCTACGGACGGTAGGGGCATTGGGCAAGGAGCCACTGGACCAGGAACTCAGGCTCTCAAGACCCGGTGGAGCACCCATCGTGGGTTGGCCGTGGACACCACTGCCGCCCTCCTCAGGGAAGGAAGCCTCCAGCGTCTGAAGCCTCCTGGGCACGTTCTAGGGAACCGAAATCTATACAGTACGCCGACGCCCTTGTCTGGCCTCGCACTGAATCTCGCACAGGGAAGCGGATCCTGGTGTATACGGGATCCTGGTGTATACATGCTTCTTCGTTTCCCCCGGAAAGCGGGGAAAAAAGTATACACCACGCCACCCCGACGTCGTCCCCGACCCTCACAAAAGTCCTGGGATTGAGAGACCGCCCGCCACTGGCAATGTCTATATGCTCCACTTCCCGACCTCCCTTCACGAGCGCCCCCAGCGTATCCGGGCCTCCGGAAGCATGCTTCGCCATCGCTCCTTGGCGGCCCCAGGGCTCGGTGGGGGGCCGAGGGAGGCCTCTACGGTGGGAGGCTCTCTGTGCTCCAGTTTCCGATATTATTTCAAAAGACGCGATCATGTATGGGTTTCCTCCTCCGAGCAGCGCCCTGATCTCTCGGGGATGGACAGAACCCCCTTTAGCAAAACGTGGTTTAGTGAAAACGACCTCGGGCCCAAACCCGGCGGGCGCAAGCCTGGAAAATAACGGCCACGGCGCCCTCTCGAAAGCCGAAAACGGACAATTCACTGATCGACGTGTCACTGTTGGGGGTTCTGTCCAGCCCCGAATCTCAGGGTCGTGGGGTTGGGCCTGCTGCGCGGCGGCTTCGGCGCGGGCGCGCCGCCCCGGAGGGCCCCCTCCGGAGCACCCGCGCACCCAGCCCCTGCGGGGCAGCTCGGGGCGCGGCTCTCCGCGCGGCCAGTTCCCCCAACAAACAGCCAGGGTGCCTCTCGTCCTCCTCCTCCTCCTCCTCCTCCTCCTCCTCCTCGTCCTCCTCCTCCTCGTCGTCCTCCTCCTCCTCCTCGTCCTCCTCCTCCTCGTCCTCCTCCTCCTCCTCCTCCTCCTCCTCCTCCTCGTCCTCCTCCTCGTCATCCTCCTCCTTTTTGACGTTGAGTGGACTTTAATCCTCGAGGTTATACGTAACGTCTATCTCCTCCTCCTCCTCCTTCTCCTCCTCGTCCTCCTCCTCCTCGTCCTCCTCCTTGTCCTCCTCCTCCTCGTCGTCCTCCTCCTCCTTCTCGTCGTTGTCCTCCTCCTACTCCTCCACCTTATTTTCCCTTTTTGACGTTGAGTGGATTTCATCCTCGGGATTGTAGCGTCTATCCACTCCTCCTTCTCCTCCTCCTCGTCCTCCTCCTCCGCCTCCTCCACCCCCTCCTCCTCGTCCTCTTCCTTCTCCTCGCCCTCGTCCTCGTCCTCGTCGTCCTCGTCGTCCTCGTCGTCCTCGTCGTCCTCGGGGTCCTCCTCCTTCTCCTCCTCCTCCTTCTCCTCCTCCTCCTCGTCCTCCTCCTCCTCCCACTCTGCCCTACGCAGCGCAACTGCGTGCTGTTCTCTCCGCGGACCCAGAACCCCCCCGGGCCATGAAAATTGATCCCGAAGGGCGGTTTTGGCTAGCTTGCGGCCTCTAGGGGCTTCGCCGGGCCCTGGGACCGCCAGCCAACAGACTCGAGACGAAAAGCGGGTCCCGGGGGACTGGGTGGAGACCTCTGGGGGGGTCGACGTTGCGAAGAGATCGTGACGTCGGGGGTCTGGGGAGGGCGTGCTTTTGCACCACCACCACCACCACCACCACCACCACCACCACCACCACCACCACCACCACCACCACCACCACCACCACCACCACCACCACCACCACCACCACCACCACCACCACCACCACCACCACCACCACCACCACCACCACACCCACCACCACCACCACCACCACCACCACCACCGTGGCCAGGGCCAGGGCCTCCCTGGGCCCCAGCGTGGCGTGCAGAGCGCCCTGGGCCTCGGCCAGAGGGGCCTCTTGGGGGCTGCTTGGAAGCCCCCGGAGAAAGGCACAGCTCGAAGTGGACACCCGTGTGTCCCACTCCGAGGCCTCTCTCCTCCTCCTCCTCCTCCTCCTCCTCCTCCTCCTCCTCCTCCTCCTCCTCCTCCCCCTCCTCCTCCTTCTTGGAGCCCTCTTGAAGCCCTCTGCGGCTGGTTGGCGCGCCTCTTGGGCCGTCCTTGGGCCCTTTTTGGCCGTCCTGGACCGCCGGCTGCAAGAAAAAATGCAAGAACGCACAAATCCTCCAAAACATCTGAGAGAACACCATGCCAGGGCCGAAGATGGCCCTGGCCAGTCAGGGTGGTGCTGCACGGCCGTCCTCTGCGAAGTTACCAGCCCTGCCGACCAGCACGTCCGCCGCGGGAAGCCCCTCCTGCGGGACGCGGAACTCGTAGTTCCCCCCCGGGCAGACGATCACGGTCCCGGAGCTGCCCCCGAGTGCGCTCTCGCCCGCCAGCGGCTGGAGCAGGAACCGGCTGCTGGGGCCGTGGAACAATGGATCCTGCAACGACTCCTCCTCATCCTCCTCCTCCTCCTCCTCCTCATCATCATCATCATCAGCCTCAATTCCTTTTCCGTATGAATAACCCCTCC